TTGAATTATAACAACGAAACAACTGCACGTCAGATTTTTCTCGTTCATAGTAACGACAAGATTAGTATAGGATTCCGGCCCGGTAAGCGCATACCCCTGCGTATAATACCAGAAACGGCACATACTCACTATCATCATGATAATCTTAACTGCATGCCTATATTTGACCCTAAAACTACAGCTAATACTTACCCCATGATTAATTTGCCTGAAGGCTAAACTCTTCACCTGATTCTAATCGTAAATTATTTAGGAGGTATGGCAGATTTGCCTAAGTTAAGTTGACTCAGCTGGGGAAAACTCGCTGCCTTCGGCGCGATTTGAATCCGCATAGTAGAGAAGGCCTTAATGCGAAGCCATTGCTCTACTGGTTGAGCTAAAAATGTCACGCTTCACCCTGTGTAGTCATTCTGGTGGATTCTAGATAATTGCTTGAGAAATCCTGCTTGGGCAATCAGCTTGCTGTTCCGCATTGGCGGATTCCATACGAGCGGTAAAGTTGGGTGGGTGAAGTCGATCGCCAAATGTGATTAAACTCACGGTGTCAGGCGTGGCATTTGTGGCTTAACTGGTAGAGTATTGGCTTCGCGTAAAAGCCTACCCTACAATGTGGATTCAAATCCCGCCGAATGCTGCGAGCTTTTCACAATTGGGCCAACTTAAACTAATCGTAAAACCATCTAAGTTATTCCCTTACTTAAAGCCTGGGCCTCGGATAAGAATTCAGTAAAGAGATGTATTCACCTGGCGCCCGCACACATAGCCCTCCGCAGGAACCGCACGGCCCACACTGTCGATCAATAAATTCCCTCCCCCTTCCTTTCCACTATAACTGTTGCTTGCTTTACGTGTACGCTTTTATCTCTGACGATGGACTCCCGCAAGAGCCCGGAAGCTCAGGGTAATAAACAAACTGATCCGGTGATTGAAATTTTTTCTTCGTTATCTATGCAATTACCTGGAAAGCGAACGTTCTTCTTCATTCGTAGACTATACATAACACAACTCATTATTGCATAAGGTATCACTTGTATTTCCACTTTAACTATGAAATTTGCCGCAGAATTTCGGCTTTTTAAGCTGAAATCCTCTGGCACCAGTTAATAGCAGCAGATTTTCTTTTGAAATTGAATTATAAAATAGGATGCGTTATCTACCTCCATAAAGGACACAAGATATATGCGGGCTGGAAGCAGAACGGAATTGGTTTCCTCTTTGGTCGCATGACTTAAATATGGTTTGCAGAACAGTGGAGTTTTGCAAAAATGGATGGGTCAAAATTGGGCGTTGGACCATGGTAGCTCCGATTGGCGATCGCGTACTCCAGACAGCTGTAACCCTCGGGATATTAGTCCTCGTGGAACTTGTTGGCAAACAGTTGTGGTGCTGTAATCAGATCCCGGAGACTCTGAGATCCCAAAATGCATATCCCACGGACGCGCTTTTAAGACAGGGTGTTGGAGACCACAGTTTAAAGCGCACAATGCCCGGCCGTTGTTCAAAGTCGGTGTCAACTTTACCATCTTTGTAAAGGCCTAGACAGGCCCCAGGGGCTCCAAGCTGTGGATTGTAGGCAAGCGTACCGTAGAACTGTTCATCCGGAAAATTCTGGTAGGCATACCTAATCAGTATGTCTCGTACGTCGAGTGCCCTCAAGTCATACAGCATAAATGCAACAAACTCCCTCAAAAGCACGACGTGAACACAGTTTTTGAGCCATGTAACCTAAAAGTATAACCGAAGGCTCATTAAGCACGTTTACGAGCTTTGATATGGCAAACAATAGAAATTTGCAGCAAGCTACTTAAAAATACACCCAAATTCAAATTATTCGCGCTTTGTTTAAACGTAAACGCAATGCCTTTGGAAAGGATGGCATATGCACCGAAATTTGCAGGTCTTGTGTTGACACTCTGGCACCCGGAGACCATAAGGTTATCGAGAGATGAAGTAGTTTCGAATTACTCGCGTTTGCGGACCTCATGCCTATGGATGAGTAGACGAGCTATTCACACTTTTGGCAATGCGCCGTTTCTCACGATATCTCATATTATAGAAAGTCCCCCGAGTGCAGTGAGAACGTGCGCCGTGGCTATCGATTTTTCCTCATAGTTGATTGGTCCCCTGTCGCTGACGCCTACTCATCGAGCAGACTGAATAAATACTCCGTAGCCTTGCAGTGACATGTTTGACTTGTGCTTATTAAATACACTTCTCCTCCTGTCCAATTGAATCCTATTCTTCTCTCGTGCTGGCGTTCGGGACAGAAACTGGGTGAGCTTAGAATTCGTGCTAATAACATGTACCAGGTGTGGGTCGTGAGGCGTATTCTATAATTCCGCCATGGTACCTCAGCAGCCGGCGGCCGTTTGCTTTGTCGACTTCACATTGCGTTAGATTCCGTTCATCGTGATTCTCTGTGGCGAAAAATGGTAGTAGATTGAGTACCGACCAAAAGCGCTGTCTTGACAAAGGCTAACTATCATTCCACCACCGCGCGAGTTCTGGTCCACAACAATCTCTCCCAACTGTTCAATATACCCCTAGTAGCAACTAGACGACTATAAGTGGCTATTTCTAGTCGTTCGCAATGCTGCGATCTAATTGGTTACCAAAATGACGCAATCAGAAGTCCGATTGGACTTCACTCTATCAATCACTCTACCTGCCTGCTGTTGAATAATATTTTTCATTTTTATTG